TATTGAACCTGACAGACCCCATTTTTTCCTCCCCAAGTGTTTTCCTAAATTTGCAGAATGGTCAGACTTTTTCCTTTCTTACATCCAAATTTTCCTTTCTTCCATCCAAAGGAGGAATAAAAATTAATTATTTTTGATTATTTGTAGGCAAAATATAGAAAGGCAATTGGAAATGAAAGCAAATATATAGAAAAACTTGGGGAGTAAATGGCGTTTGTCAGGCTCACAATTACCAAAAAATATCAATTAAGGAAAGGGGAGCTTTAAAAAGTCCTACAGTGGTTCACTTAAAACCCCCAAAAAATATTTTAGGTCTTATAAAACTAAAACATTTCCCCAATTTTAAGTCATAAAAGTTAAACAAACTAATAAAAAATACAATTTTGTGCCTCTTCTTCCTCCTCGTCGTAATCATCAAAATCGTCTCCATAATCATCGTCGAGTTCTTAATTTAATCAAAATTAAATTGTTTAATCAAAAATTGAAAAAAAACCTTCAGCGATATTCAATTTGCGTACATTCCTATGTCTAGACATATTTTTTGCTGAAAATTTCCAAAAAAATTTCCAAAAATATTGTAGATTTTAAGAAAAATAAAATAAAAATTGTTTATTTCAACAATTAAATTTAAAAATTAATTTTCAAAAATTTAAACAATTTTTATTTAAATTAAATCCAAAAAACAACCCTAATTAAAAAACACTTTCAATTCCTTTCTCTTTAGGTTTACTTTGTTCTATCTTTTCAGCACGCAAAGTTTTTTGAATTTGTTGTTCTTCATAAAGTTGCTCAGCAATTTTAATTTCATTCAAATAATGGACAATTTGTTTCTGTAAAAGGTTATCAAATTAAAAAGTTTTTAATAATTTTTAATAAAATTGGAACTAAAAATAAGTTCCAGGAAAAAATAAGTCCCAGGGATTTTTTTTGTATTAATAAAATTCTTTTTTGGGGCAATTGTTTGGTTCGTCGCCATATTTTTTTCTGACCATCTTTTCATCTTCCTCCTTTCTTCCATATTTTTCATGAGGGGGATCTGGACCCGTCACGGGACCGTCAATCATTCAAAGAATTTTTGTTAGTACAGAAGAGTCAGATATGTATACACAAAATATAGAATTATTTTGGTCATCTTATAAGCGTAGGTTCCGCCATCAAACAGGTAACAATACTGATTGATTTGAACAAATACTGACATGAACAGATACTTAAAATCTTTCTTGATACTTAACTTATAAAAAATAAAGGGGAAAGGGAAGGAGAAATAAAAAAATGGTCAGAAAAGAGGGGTTACAATTATCTTTATTGGAAATATTTATAACAGAGACCAAACTAAATTGCTCGAGATCTAGAAAAGTCTCATTTTCAATAACTGAGGAACCTCTATAAGTACAAGCTTAAAAAACAAAAAATAAATACCCCAAGTTCAACTTGTTTCTTCCTCCGTTCCAACTCCCATTTTGTAGTAATTGAAGGCTTACGACCATCCACAAAACTAAAATCAGGTCCTCTATCTAGTGGCCGAACAACGGGATTGTAATAAAGCCTGAAAATTAGTTAATGATTAACTGATAAGCAAATTACTTGATCATTATTATCGAAAAATTAATTTTTAATAAAAATTAAAAACTAACGGCTTTTTCCACCAACAAGAACCAGATACAAGTTCTGGAACATTTGACATCAACTTTTTCGTTAAAAACATTTTTGCTCTATCAATTCATGCAAAAAATTAGAGAACTAATGAAACAGAAAGTTTGTCTGAAATCTAAAAAATATGAAAAAAATCTAATGAAAATATTTGAGTATCCAAACTTTAACAAGATCAACAGGAAATAATACAGGGTGCGGCAAATTTTCCGCCCCTTTTGTTTTCGTCATATCTCGGTACAAACTCAACAAAATTTGATAATTCTTTTTTTATTTTATTCACAACTCTCTGAGAAAATTTTTGGTATCAAAATCACCTTTAAATTCTAAGTTTACTCTGAGTAAACTTCTCTCAAAGTTTGAGCAAAATTTTTTGGATAAAAATTGGCCTAGCTTCAAGGCTGAGATTTTGGTATTGGAAATGTTTATACCATTCGAATCAGCTCTTCAATCTGATTCGAATGACATCAAAATTAGTTGGCTACGACAAAAATCGAATGAGATATGGCCTTCTGAATGATAAATTGAAATAATTTTAGGAAAAATAAAATTTTCAGTTGAAATTTTTAAAAATGAAATTATAAGCTATTTTGATGCAACTAAACGAGATAAGTCGTTTGGTGCAAAAATCATTCGGATTGGAAGATTTTGGACGAAGTTATGATCAATTTAAATTTGGCAAGAAAAAATGTTTTTTGAAACATTATGTTCGGACCGGCCTAACTTTACCATTTGTGAACTAAATTTATCCTTTTTGGTACCAAAAATTTTCTCAGAGAGTTGTGAATAAAATAAAAAAAGAATTATTAAGTTTTGTTAAGTTTGAACCGAGTTATGGCAAAAACAAAAGGGGCGGAAAATTTGCCGCACCCTGTAAAATAATTTTATATACAAAAATTTAACTAGTCAGTCATATTTATAAGTTTAAGTATAGGCAATAAAAAAGGTCTGAATTAAATTTAAAAAATATTTTTATATCAAGAATATATTTATTTCTCATTTAAACCAATTCAAGTTCTAGTTCTTGACGGTGGCAATCTGGCCATCTTTTGAAAAATAGGAGAAAACTCGCACCTATTTTCATCAGATGGCGGTCGTTCAAGCTGCTAAAATAAGAACGAAAAAAAATAACTTTTTTGGAATAAAAATATAAGCTACTTATTATCATTTAAGCTACAACAAATTTACAAGTACAACTATTTTCGGTTAGTCAAATTTCAAAATCTTGGTTAAGTTTCATGTGTTTGTCAAATCAACAATTTTTGAAATTCACAGGGTATTTTAATTAAAAATAGGAAAATATTTCCTTTAAAATCGGAGTTTCGGAAAATGATTAACAGATTTAAAAATAATTTTAAAAAATCATACGTCTACAACAGAAATCATACTCGTTGCCAACACCATAAAGTTAAATGGATTGAAATAAGCTGCCCTATTTGTAGCAATACTTTGAGGGTGATCAGGAAAAAAAGTTCGCCCTACATTCATCGCTAACAATCCCTTTGAGTCAAAAACTGCACCGCCACTATCGCCATCGTTAGTTTGAATATTTACAATCAAAAATTTTGCGTATACGTCATTCTCTCCTAAATAATTAAAAATAAATTTAATTAAAATTAATTGATTCAACCAAAAAACTGTTTCGATGAATGAAGACTTCCTTTTTGAGGACCAAGAATTGATCCATTCTTCCCACGACCATAGAGCCTGATTCCATCACCAGCCCTAACGGAGTGAGAAATTGGAGGTCCATCGCCTTTAACATCGGTATCTGCTTTGAACAAGATAAAGTCCCAATGATCATTTATATATACGACAGTTGCTAGAAAGTGAGATCCATCATCGGAATAAATAAGTTGTTCATTTCCCCAGATAAATTTCTTGTGCTCATTGTGACGGAAAGTAGCAAAATATAATTTGTGAATTCGTGTAACGCATGTAGTAAGATTATCAATTTTGATGAAAAAACAATACTTTTTCACATCTAATAAAGGCATATATACTAAAAAATTTGTTTAAGAACTATTTTTAAAAATCAAAATATACCTGAACTAGGCAGCCAAGGAGAATTCAAGGCAAACCGCTCGACTTCATCTAAGTACTCTAAAATTAAAAAATTTCAAAAGATTAGCATTATCCTCAATTAAAAATTCTAAAAAGCTATTTGAACTGTCAGGGGCCTAAAAGGAACAAGTCAAATTGAAAAATATAAAGAAAAATATTTTAAAAAGTACGAAAACCCTAGCCTGGCTTAAAAATGTCATTTCATAAAATTTAACAAAAATGTCTTCTTAGGAACACGTTAAAAACCTCAAAGGGAACCTTTCGAACTGTTAGGGGCCTTATTTTTTCTTAAAGAGGAGAAAAATTCCTTTTTAATATGAAAAGTGAGGGAGTGTCGACCGCCCAAAAATTCAAATTTCAGTAAATTCAAATCTTTAAAAAACTAACCAGGCGCTACACTAACAACAGGAGGCTTCCGACGATAAATTACTTCAAACAACTTCCCTTTCCATCCATCAAAAGGCGCCTCAAAAGCCTTTTTATTATCATTAAATCTAAATGAGATGTCCCGTATTTAAACAATCTTAAATAAACATACGGAACACCGCGCTTGAAATTAGAATTTGGCGTAGGGTACATTAACCCATACGCTCCCGGAAATGCGTGTTCAAATGAAGAGAATGGCAAAGTCCCATCAGATGAGAGTTGAATCCACCTAGTCCTGCCGGTAGCTTGGTCAGTTACACGAACAAACTGAAAAAGAGCTTTATAGAACTCTCAAATTTTTAAAGTAAAATATACTTTATCAACAGTTTCTACTTCAACTTCTGAAGACAAACTAGATCCCCTTGCACTGCTAGATTCCGATCCACTTTCAGCTTCAAGTTTACGTTTTTTTGCAAATGTAGACATTTTAATGATTTTAAGATCTGAATTTGTAAACCAATTTTTAAAAAAAAATAAAAAAAACTAAATAAAAAATAAAAAATCAACGATTCAAAAAATGAGAAGTAAAAAAACAAAAGCAAAATTCTCAAATGTCACTGACGGTAAAACGGACAAATCGCCAACAGATGTAAAAACGGACAAATCGCCAACAGATGTAAAAACGGACAAATCGCCAACAAGAGGATATATGTAGTTCTCATCGCGTACGATATTTTGAATGGTGATATTTTGGGAAATTTCTTTTTAATCGAATCTCAGAAAATTATTTTGTCTTATCAATATGATTAAAATATTTTTTTCTTACACTTTGGTGGACTGATTTATTTTATATTTTTTTTCTGAAGAAAATTTATTCTTTCGTTTCTTATCTTTAACATATTCTAATTAAATTTATTTTTTTTTAGAATTTATAGTGAAAAAATGACTCAACCAGTAGCTGATATTGCTGTTATTGGACTTGCAGTAATGGGACAAAATTTAATTTTGAATATGAACGATCATGGATTTGTGGTATACTTTTTATTTATTTTGTTTTAATTCTAGTCCTCTAAATCTTTTTTTTCGGGATTAAGATTGTACTGTTAAACCTCCCATATTTTAATTTTTTTAACCGCGTCTAGTTTTTATCAGACCAGAACGTTGATACAGATTTTGCTATCAATATCCGTCTGTATCCGCGTGTATCCGCAAATATTATCCGTATCCATGACCAGGCCTGATTTTTATGATAACATGGACATTAACTGTTTTTACTAGCAACCTACCTTTCCTTATTGGTGTTTGTATAGTTTACAATCCATAAGCCTTGACCCTTTTCTTTTTAACTTCTTTATCTCATAAGGATAGAATAGTTAGGAGTAGAGGTCGGCGCGGGACGGGATCCCGACGGGATTTTCCGGGATCCCGAAATCCCGAATATTTTCGATCTTCGGGATCCGAGATTTTTTCGGGATTTATCTCTCGGGATCCCGTCCCGGCATCGGTTAAGAAAATCTCGACTCAGGATCCCGGAAGTACGATTTTGCCGACCTCTAGTTAGGATTAAACTATATCAATAAAATCATGCCTAAAAATATTTCAGAAAAACTTCTCTTTAAATTTATTTATTTTCAAAATTTCTATAGGTTTGTGCATTCAATAGAACAGTTCAAAAAGTCGAAGAATTTCTTGCAAATGAAGCTAAAGGGACTAAAATAGTTGGAGCAACTTCTTTAGAACATATGGTTAAGTAAGTAGATTTTTATAATTTAAACTTTTTTTAAATTCTTTAAAGACTTCTCAAACGGCCTCGTAGAGTTATGCTTTTGGTAAAGGCTGGAAGTGCTGTCCAAGATATGATTGACAAAATAGTTCTACTTTTGGAATCTGGTGATATTATTATTGATGGAGGGAATAGTGATTATCATGATTCTAATGTAAGGTTTTCTTTTAAAGATTTTTTGGGGGAAATTGGAGTTTTGGGGAAGTTAAGTCTTAATGAAGTGCCTCGGTTTTGTAAATACCAATTTTTTGTATCCATCCAAAATCAAAATGGTGGAACGTCTAAAACCGGAAGTGCGTAACAGGGATCTAGCCAACTCGATTTCCGAAAATCGTGAATTGAATTTTTATGTCGGCTAGTTCCCTGGTGCGTAATTTTTGAAATTTTGGAGCCTCAGGAATCTGAATCCTCAAATCGTTAAACCGGGAAAGGATTGTTTAATAACTACAATTATTGAATTTGATTAATTTTACAAGTTTGGAAAATAGTATAGACCCAAAATTAACCTTGAACTTTCTTCAAATAATATTTATAAATTTTTGAAATATTTTTTATTTTATATTTTGCAGAGAAGATTTGAAGAATTATCAAAGAAAGGAATTTATTTTGTTGGTTCCGGTGTCAGTGGTGGTGAAGAAGGAGCCAGATATGGGGTTATTTTTATATTTACACTTAATCCAATTTCACTTATTTTTTTCCTTTTTCAGCCTTCTTTAATGCCTGGTGGTTCTCCAGAAGCCTGGAAACATTTAAAACCAATTTTCCAAGGAATCGCAGCAAAAGCCCCAGATGGCCTTCCATGTTGTGAATGGGTGGGGACTGCAGGTTCTGGGCATTTCGTTAAAATGGTTCACAATGGAATTGAGTATGGCGATATGCAATTAATTTGTGAAGCTTTCCATTTAATGAGTAAAGGATTGGGACTTGATTTTACAAAAATGGCTGAGGTTTTTTTTTGATTATAATTTTTTAAAATTATTTTTTTTAGATTTTTGAGGATTGGAATAAAGGAGAACTCGATTCCTTTTTGATCGAGATTACTGCAAATATTTTGCGTTATCGTGATGAAGATGGAGAGCCAATGGTGCAGAAAATACTTGACTCTGCTCAACAGGTTTTGTAAAAAAATTGTTGGTTTACAACATATTTCCTGTCTTCCAAATTATTTGGAAAATTTTTTTGGAATTTCTAGAAATTTTCCGTAAAAATTTCAATCTTCGAGCTGAAATGCCTCAATTAAAGGAATTTCCTCATTAACTTTGACATTTAGTACTTTACCTAAAATCACCTTTCACATAAGCATTTGTAGTTCAGTGGTAGTGTGTTTGACTTTGTTGTTTAAAGCCTTTGTGTTCTATCACCTCTACATTCCTCGAAAAGTTGTCAACCTCCATTAGGGTTGGCAGTGTGGAAATTCGATATGCTTTTAATTTTATAGCATTTTCGAGCCACCTTTTCGTAAATTATAAGCTTTCGGGCTGTTCAGCATATTCCTGATCGCTGGGTAAATCTAAATGGATAATGACCTTTTGGGAAAAACCATGCTGAAAACAAAAAATTTTATTTTTCTTAAAAAATTTTTTTCTTTTTAAAGAATTATTTTAAATTTTTTAGAAAGGTACGGGCAAATGGACGGGTATTGCTGCACTTGAATATGGAATTCCTGTTACTTTAATTGGTATATATTTTAGTTTTATTTTTTAATTATTAAAAAATTTATTTTCTAGCTGAAGCAGTTTTTGCCCGTTGTTTATCTTCTCTAAAGGAACAACGAGTTAGTGCTTCGAAAGTTTTGCCTGGACCGGAAAAGAAATCTAAAGAAATTATTAAAGACTTGGAATTATTTATTAATAATCTTGGACAGGTTTTTTAATTTTTTAAATTCTCTTTTAATTTTTAAAGGCTTTATATGCTTCCAAAGTTGTTAGTTATGCTCAAGGATTTATGCTACTTTCTGAGGCGAGTAATCATTTTAATTGGAATTTGGATTATGGGGCTATTGCAATGATGTGGAGAGGTGGATGTATTATTCGTTCGCGATTTTTGGGACGAATTAAAAGTGCTTTTGAGAAAAATCCGAAACTTGTAAATTTACTTTTGGATGATTTCTTTCTTGATGCGATGAAGAATGCTCAGGTTAATTTTTTTGTGAATTTTTTGGGAATTTTTTGAAATTTTTAAATTTATTGAATTTTTGAAAATTTTCGGACACCTAAAATTTTTGAATTTCAATTTAATAAAATATTTTTGGATTTTAGAATTCTTGGCGTGAAGTAATCTCTACAGCCGTTCAACTCGGTATTCCAATGCCTGCATTTAGCGCTGCATTAGCATTTTTTGATGGTTATCGTTCTGAAGTTTTACCAGCTAATTTATTACAGGTTTTTTTAATTGAAAATTTTTTTTTAATTTTTAAAAATTAAAGGCACAACGTGACTATTTTGGTGCTCATTGTTATGAACTTCTTTCAAAGCCAGGAATTGCTTTACATACAAATTGGACAGGAAAAGGAGGACGAGTTACATCGAATGCTTATTCTGCTTAATTTTACTAGGAAAAGAATTTTATTTTAAATTTTTATATAATAGGAAATATATATTTTATATAATAACTACACTACCAAAAATTGCATCACAAGGACAAGCAGGTAATTGAAGATAATTATTTTGTTCTCGACGCAACTTAGAATTAATAAGCATTGAAAAATTGACAAGTATACTTTTAAATATAAATTTTAGAGGTATGTTTAAAAACTAGCTCAACATTTGAAGGTCATCATTTCATTTGAAAGTAGTTCTTGAATTGCGTCATATATCATTGAAATTCCAACAAAATAGTTGTGCATAGTGAAATGAGCCGCTTTTCAAATGCTTCATTATAATTACAATCAGGAGGAAAACCAATAAATCCCAGGTTGATTCCACACAATCCAGCTTGGCTCCAAATACCTGCGCCGCTTTCACCGTAGTAAGTTGAAATAGTCCCGAGGAAAAAGGGACCAAGTATTTCATCGTCTTCTAAATATATTTTGAGCTATTTTTAAAGTAAATTTTAAACTAACTGTAAAAATTCTTTTTTTCTTGAATAAAAATGTTTCCTTCGCGATAAGACAAACACTTTAAATCGTTTCCATAACCATTGAGCATAATACGCCCACCAAATTTTGGACTGAAGTCCAATTCAGGACCTTCCTCTAGTGTTGTAGAGTTATTTTTGAGAATGATGAAGTTGAGAATGATTGAAGAGGAATTGATTTGTCGTTATCAAATATTGATCATTTCTGGATTAAATATACACTCAAAAAGTGCCAAATCAAAAGCACATTTAAATAAATGTTCTAATCAACAACGAGCAATAATCATTTGTCTAATATTTTTTGTAATATTTGGCAATATCAGGATATAAGGTGTTTTTTCGTCCTGTGAACCGGAAAATGTTTTTTGAATACGAATAAAATTTAGTCAGTCCAGAAATGGAATTGATTTGTCTATAGCTGCTTGCCACTGAAAAAATAAATATAATTTAACTTTAAGTTATCCTTCTCCTTAAGTTGATCATTTAAAGTTAAATGATTAAAGTTAAAGGATCAACTTAAGGAGAAGGATAACTTAAAGTTAAATTATATTTATTTTTTCAGTGGCAAGCAGCTATAGACAAATCAATTCCATTTCTGGACTGACTAAATTTTATTCGTATTCAAAAAACATTTTCCGGTTCACAGGACGAAAAAACACCTTATATCCTGATATTGCCAAATATTACAAAAAATATTAGACAAATGATTATTGCTCGTTGTTGATTAGAACATTTATTTAAATGTGCTTTTGATTTGGCACTTTTTGAGTGTATATTTAATCCAGAAATGATCAATATTTGATAACGACAAATCAATTCCTCTTCAATCATTCTCAACTTCATCATTCTCAAAAATAACTCTACAACACTAGAGGAAGGTCCTGAATTGGACTCCAGTCCAAAATTTGGTGGAAGTATTATGATTAATGGATATGGAAATGATCTAAAGTGTTTGTCTTATCGCGAAGGAAACATTTTTATCCAAGAAAAAAGAACTTTTTTAGTTAGTTTAAAATTTACTTTAAAAATAGTTCAAAAATGAATATATTAGAAGACGATGAAATACTTGGTCCCTTTTTCCTCGGGACTATTTCAACTTAAACGGTGATAGCGGCGCAGGTATTTGGAGCCAAGCTGGATTGTGTGGAATCAACCTCGGATTTATTGGTTTTCCTCCTGATTGTAATTATAATGAAGCATTTGAAGAAGCGGCTCATTTCACTATGCACAACTATTTTGTTGGAATTTCAATGATATATGACGCAATTCAAGAACTACTTTCAAATGAAATAATGACCTTCCAATGTTGAGCTAGTTTTTAAACATACCTCTAAAATTTATATTTAAAAATATACTTGTCAATTTTTTAATTCTAAGTTGCGTCGAGAACAAAATAATTATCTTCAATTACCTGCTTGTCCTTGTGATGCAATTTTTGGTAGTGTAGTTTATATCATTCAAAAACAATTTCATAAAAATTCAAAAAATATTTCTTTTGATTTTGCCCTCTATCTAAATTGTTTCTAATATTATCATCATCTTTATTAGAAATTCCAATCATTATATTTCCTGTAGGTTTTTCCAATGTAAAAGTTTCCAGATATACACCAATTTGAGTTTCGCGGAGAAGTAATTCATCTTGAAAAGTTTCTAATTTTTATTATTTTATAAATAGGAACCAGGGAATATGACGTTCCTATTCCCGAAAATCTGAATTTATTTATGTCGGCACGTTCTCTGAAAGGAAGAGGTGGGCTGGAACGATTTCAATCATCCGACAACTTTTACCCGATTTTCGAAAAATTCTTATTTTCTGGATTCGTAAAATTTGTGATAGTGAGATTTCCTATTTATGAGAGTTCTGACACTTTCGTCTGTTCCAATCCCTTTGAACAAACAAATGATAAAATAGAGGGGACACACAAATAATTAATCCTTACCATTTAAAATATCCCAAACAATTAATTCATTTTTATCGGAAAATCTCCTTGTGTTGTTAATTTTCTGTTTTTGTTGATTAGTAGAAAGTGTAAAGAGTAAATTTGTTTCCGTTAAAATGGAAATTTCACATCTGGTACGGCCTAAAAATTAAAAAAAATTTAACAAAAAAATATAAGAACAAGTGCAAATCTAAAATAACTTTTCCCAGTCAACCCAAGGAAATTGTAGAATAAAATTAAATCCTTTGTTACAAGGTGAAATCAAACAAAAGCCCAGTAATCAAACGATAAGATTTCCCCGTAAATATAAATTTAAAAAATTTCCTACTCACCAACAGGTAAAAGTTTTTCAACTTGAGAATTATTGTTAAAATGTCCATCTTCTTCAAATTTAATTTTTTGTAAAATTCTTCCATCCAAAGTTTTCCAAATAAAAATTCTTTTCTTTCCAAAATTAAAAGAAATAAATTGTTCCGCTGTTCCTTCTCCAAAATTTCCATTTTCAAATAATGTTTGTGAATATTTAATTTTATTTAAATTTTCTTCAAGTTGTATTAAAACGCCTGTTTCTGCTTTAAAAAAATAAAATTTTCTTTTAATTCCGTTTTATTTTTAAATTCTCTTAAAAGTCAATTTCCGATATTAGTAACAATTTAATAGTTGTCGTCGGTTGTCTATTTTGTGTGAATGTGAGGTTAAATGTATGATTTAGTGGATGAATCGCTCTAACACATTTTAAAACACCCAGGGAGTTTTTAGGGAAGAAATTATTTTTAATTAAATTTAAAATAAAAAAATTACTCGCAAACCACAATTGTTGTTTATTCTCCCAATTTTTAACTATAGAAACACCAACAAGTTCAACACTTCGATTAGTTGTTGTTGCTTCTCGATATAAATGTTTAGGTAAATCCGAAAGGGTTATTTGAATACTTTCCAATAATTCCAATTGATTGTTTGGTTCAAGTCTTAAATTTTTTAATTTTTGGAGATTTATGAAGGCGAAAAAAATTCATTTTTTCTTCAATCCCATCCCCTAATTTTTTCCTTTTCCCCATTTCATGGGGGGGGGTAATTCACCTCCACCCTACCCCACTGGCTACGAGCCTGCTAGGATTTGATAACTAGAATTTCAACCAGACGTGATAACTGAAAATCCGTGAAAAGCAGGAGCTTAGAACTGACAAAAAAGGTCTCGAAAAAAGTTAAATAAGAGATTAGGATAAGTGGAGGACAGAAAATATAAACATACCACAAAAGGGTAGCTAATCAGCTTTCCCAGATAAAAATATTTTTTTAAAAATTAAACCTGCTTTTAATTACTTTTCCATCCAATCCAACACTAATAAGTATTCCTTTATGCTCATCTAGCCAATGAAATTGCGTAATAGCCCTTGAGTGCAAGCCTGCTGTTGGACCGCCACCATTCCATAAAACTTTGCCCACATTTCCCTCCAATGTTGAAAGCAATAAAAGTTCTCCGTTGTAAAGGCCAACAATTAATATCTAAAAAATAAAAATTTCGGTATCTTCCCTTATCTTACTTCTTTCACGAAAAAATTACAAACGGCCAAAGACCATTTAAAATATCAGGGGATACCAGAAAAAACACGGAGATAATGGGGAGTATCAAAATTTCAACAAATTTTCAAAAAATTAAAAACCTCTCCATGGCGACCAAAAATTGCCTCACTCGGACAAGCAGGTAACTGAACCCAATTATTTTGTTTCCGGCGTAAATTCAAAAGTAAATGGCCTACATGTTCTGCACAATGAGAATCATGTTCAGCTTCAGCAAAAAGAACGGCCACGCGAGAGCCTAATCCACAACGAATTGCAAAAGGTTGACAAGTTGGTGAAAATCCTTCGGTCTTTAAAATTAGAATTTATTAATTCTACTATTTAATTATGCTAGACAGGGGGTTAAAATCTATTAAAAGAGAAAGCGAAATCAGCGTCATGGTAGCTCACAGCAATCGAGGTAGCTGTATTGACTAACAGAATTTTTGGGTTCACTAAACTAATGTAAGCGAAAATCCTACGCTGCCGAATCCTGGGAAATCCTTCAAGCCGGACAAAAATTTTTAGATATCAGGATACGGATATGTTAATTCTATAACAAATTTTAATTCCAAACCAAGCATCTTAAATGCTAAAAAATGAAATCATCCCATAACTCATCCACTCCCCTACTCAATATTTTAAAACTAATAAACCTTAGGTAATTCAGTTTCTCTTAAAAGTTGTAGAAAAATTCTTCTTTTTTGTTCCTTTTCAAAATCATTTCCCCAAACAGAACGTTCATAAACTTTCAAAAGAGGCAATTCTGCAGAAATATTATCCAATTCCTTTAACAATAAATCGACCAAATTCGATGAAATTCGAAGAGAATTAGCTGCCGAACGATTCCATAATAAATATTCTTTGTCTGTTTGTGTGCCACGTTCAGGAGCTTTTAATGGATCTATTGAAAGAATTTTTATAATCAACTTTCATTTAAAAAAGTGTTTGAACAAACCTGTCCCTGTAG